TACTGCAATTTTATTGGATTAAGACGGTACGGATGTTGTTTGATAGGCAGAACGTCACTCACTATGACATCATGACAAGCTGCATTAGTTTTCTTTGGAACATCCGAGAAGATTTGATGATACTCATTTATCAAGTTTTTAACTTGTTCTTTTTGGTGAATGTTCAAATGTCCAAGTTTGGCATCAAAATCAGCCAAAATTTCTGAGTTTTTCAAGCGGACACTCTGATTACAATCTTTCTCATTCATTTCTTTACTCGTATCACTTTCAATACAATTTTGAACAGTCTTAGCATTGGCTAAATTGGAAACTGGTTTTACAGAATTTCGGTCACACCTTTCAAAATACTCTTTCAACATGTTAATGTGACAAACCCGTTTCTCTTTACGTCGACCTGGTGTCTTAACTACATAGTTTACATCACTGATCTTGCTTTCAATTTCATGAGGGCCATAAAATCTTACCTGTAAAGGATGACCAGGAATAGGTAAAAATACAAGAACCTTATCACCTGGCTTAAACACCCTATTTCTGGCATCTTTGTCATACCACATTTTCATTTTCATCTGAGAATTCTTCAAATTTTCTTGTTCTAATTTACAAGCATTGTAAAGTTTTTCTTTGAAATCAGACACATAATCTAAAAGATTAAGATCACTAGTCTCAGTCAGCCACTTTTCCTTTAACAATTTCAAAGGACCCCTAACCGTATGACCAAACACCAATTCAAAAGGACTAAACCCAAGAGACTCCTGGACTGCCTCTCGTGCAGCAAATAGTACAAGATGAACCCCTTCATCCCAGTCTTTCTCATACTGGTAACAATAGGTCTTCAGCATTGTTTTTAGGGTTTGATGAAAACGTTCTAGCGCTCCCTGGGACTCAGGATGATAAGCAGTTGATCTATATTGCCTTATACCCAACTCATGCATGACTTGCTGGAACAACCCAGACATAAAATTTGACCCTTGATCCGACTGAATTGCCTTAGGTGCTCCTACAAAACTGAAAAACTTGGTTAGGGCCTTAACTATGCTCTTTGCCTTTATATTCCTTAGAGGTATGGCTTCAGGAAATCGAGTGGATGTACACATAATGGTAAGTAAATACTGGTTCCCATATCTAGTCCTAGGCAAAGGTCCTACACAATCCACCAACACTCGACTAAACGGTTCTTCAAAAGCTGGAATGGGTTGAAGAGGAGCAGATGGTATCTTCTGATTTGGTTTACCTACCATCTGACAGACATGGCATGACTTGCAAAACTTCGAAACATCCTTTCTTAGCTTAGGCCAATAAAAATGACTCAAAATCCTATTATAAGTCTTATTGATACCTAAATGACCAGCCATAGGTGTATCGTGAGCTAAACTCATGACATCTCGACGATAAGCAGCTGGGACCACTATCTGGTGAACAACACGCCACACTTCATCTGGAAAAGCGTCAGGTGGTCGCCATTTTCGCATAAGGATGCCATCTTTCATATAGAAGCATTCTCCAACTTTAGTAGCCTCTTCTGGTGGAAGTGCCCTCTTACTAAGTTGAATGATATCTGGGTCTTTATGTTGTTCAGAGAGTAAACGTTCTCGGCTGAGGATGTCCTTGCCTTGGCTAACTAGTGGATGCAACTCATCATCCTCACCACCAAATTTTGGTAAAAGTTCTTTCTTCTTTTGCTTCTTTATATTGTGCGGTTCCATGCTTGTTTGAGTGCCATCAAGGTCAGATAAGAAAGTGTCATTCAAATCAATATCAACAGAGGAATTCGTCTCGTCAAAGGCTTGAGTATGGTCTGCCTCCATTTCTCGTCTTCTGGCCATCGCTCTAGTAACAGCACAGGCTGGATAAATGTCATCATCTTCATCATCGCACATGACATTGGAAGTGATTTTCTCACAAACTATAGGATCAGGTACAACCTTCCCACCAGCTAGATCGTTGCCTAACAACAAAGAAATGCCTGGAACGGGAAGAGTAGGTCGAACATCTACGATAACAGGTCCAGTAACTATATCTGACTTCAAACTAATTCTATGCAGGGGAACATCAATGGCGCTTAGCTCCACACCCTGTAATAAAACTGACCCACCAGTAGAAGTCTGCTCAGACAAAGGAAGCACGCCCTCTAATAACAAAGTCTGGGCAGCACCAGTATCTCTCAAAATCTGGACAGGTTTAATTTCGCTAGAGTCACCGAGTGAAACAAATCCCTGAGACATAAAGGGCTTATACTCCTCCATAGAATCAATAGAACTGGACTGTGAACCCTGGACATCAGGAGTGTCAGAACAAATCGAAACTAAGGCTTCTCTATCACCTCTAACTGCCGCACAAGCGTGTGGTTGAGTTTTATCAAAGTCATTTTTTCTCTTAAGTTTAAAGCATTCACTGATCAGATGACCTTTTTTCTTACAATAACTACACGTAGGAAGCGACCCTATTCCAGATGATCCTTCAAAACGTCCTGGACCGAACTTAAAACCACCTTGGGATGGAGACTGGGAAATTGTGGAAGACCGAGACCCTGAACCACTCTTTTTATATGTGTCTGAATTGGTAGAATTACTGCTAGTCTGAGATCTTGATACAAAATTCTTTTTATGAGACAGAGCATAAGTATCAGATATGACTGCTGCCTCTTCAAGAGTTTTCACATTCTTATCTTCTAAATGTGTTTTCAAATCTTGAGAAACACATTCCTTAAACTCTTCTACCAGGATGACTTGGCGCAAATTAGCAAAAGTTTTATCAAGTTTCTTAGATCTAAACCAGTGATCGAATAAATCTTCTTTCTCTCGTGAAAATTCAACAAATGTTTGATTATCAAACTTTCTATACTTTCTGAACTTTTGTCTATACGCTTCAGGTACTAATTCATATGCTTTTAATATTGCTTCTTTGACCTTCTCATAGTCTGAACTCTCAACTACCCCTAATGCAGAGTATACCTCAGCCGCTTTTCCAACCAGTACACTTTGTAACATCGTTGACCAAACATTCCGTGACCATTTAAGATTCTCTCGACCTTTTCGAATTGGGGGAAATATTTGTCTACAGATTTTTCTTGAAATTTTGGAACTAATCTGATATTTTTTGCTGCGTCAAATTCAGTTTTGACAATTGACGGTTCTGGTTTGTGCTGTAATTTTAATTTCTCTAACTCAAAATGCTCTTGTCTTTCTAATTTTTCTAATTCAAATTTTCTCTCTCTCTCTCTCTTTTCTCTCTTTCTCGCTCTTCTCTTTCCCTTTCTCGATCTTCTCTTTCTAATTTTTCTCTTTCAAGTCGCATTTTCTCTAACTCTAACTGAAACTGATATTCTGCCATTTTATAAGAGCCTAACTCTGATTTAAATGTATATTCTGGAAGATCGTATTTTTCAAAGACGTTTTCTTCTACTAATTTGTTTGCAACCTTTATTCTAATATCTTGCTTTTTCTGAGAGGATTTAACATCTAACCCAAGCAAACCTAATGCGATCAAGTCATCCTTTTTTAACGTATCAAAAACCTGAACACTTGGTGAATTAAGAAAGTCTGTGACCGAAAACACCATGTTGATTTCTGCTGGCTTATAATCAAATTTAACGGTTCAATAAACAAAATTCTGACAATAAACTACAGAAGTGCAAGAAATTCTTTATCCCGACGAGCCCCCAATTCTGTTATGGGTCAGAATTTCCCGAAATGCCAGCAAAGATCAATAACACAATTTAAACTTAACAATAATTTATTTACTGTAATATATAATAAATATATCAAACATAAAGTACAAACTTAGCAAGAATTTAAAAATACATACATCAGAGTGTCCGTTGCTGCACACAATGTCCCAGTGAAAATATATCCCATTTATATCTCAATAGTGCTTGTACGACAAAGTATATATATGCATCGAATTGACAGGGTATTTATATAGTATCATAAATCTAGAATATTCTAGAAATTATGTGAACCCTCGATATCCGGACGCCAGAATATATCCGGATGCTTCAGTATCCGGACGATTTTTCATCGGAACGAAATTTGTAAATGTAATTTTGTCTTGTTTAACTGGTGATTCAGATATCCGGATGCTTCACATATCCGGACAAATTGACTGGGAACCAAAGTGTCCGGATAAATGAGGGTCCACTGTATATGCATCGAATTGACAGGGTATTTATATAGTATCATAAATCTAGAATCTAGAAATTATTAAAACATGATATTACTGGAACAATCTGGACATACACAAAATTTAAGAATGTTCTAGATCAAATGACCGAACATGTTGACCACTCTGGAATGTTCAAGAAACTTAATGTTACTAATAATATACATGATGAAACAATACAAATACAACACAACTCACAACAACGTATATTTGTTTTGTGTGATTTAAAGAAATCTCTTCTTAATTTCTCAACATTTGCTATTCCAAAATTTATAATTTTAACTAGATCTGATTTTTTTTTCAGGTATATGCGAGCCAATGGACGATCCTAAATGTTTAAAAATCAACGAAGCCGTTACATGTTTGTGAGGTGTAAATCAATATTCTATAGACTTTTATTATTATAATATATTATTTTAAAAGCAGGGGTAAAATAGTTATATTTAAGTTACAATTGTGATCTTTTAGGTGTTACTTTTTAATATTTGCTTACTTATTTTTTTTTCATTATTGAATGACTTTGCATTTTGCTTCAGCGATAATAAAAGCACTTTATATAAGTCCTGTTTATCATTGTCATTATCATGGCGTTCTTGTGTTGTTGTTGTTTTTTTTTTCTAAACATAAGAACGTTTCTGACACAGAAATATCCAATAATTAACCCCCCCCCAAAAAAAAAAAACAACAACAAAAAAATATTGACTGTGGTTGGTATTTTTACATTCCATAAAACAAGTAAAATCTAAAGCATTTGGAAAAATATTTATTTTCCATTTATTAACAAATTTGATAAAAATAAATAAATAGGTGTATAAATATAACAAAAGACAAAATACTAAAAAAAGCGTATAAAATACAATATCAGAATCTGGATTTTCATGGGTTGGCTAACTTCTAGTGTGAGATCCATCAAAATGATGTCCTGAAAATAAAGTGAGGATACAGGTGTAATTTCATTGAGAAAACAGAATCTACACTATTACAGGTAAGATTACTTTCATTCCAAAGTTAAGCGGGAAATAATAAAATCTGGATTACAAATATTTAAGTAAAAGAGAATGTTTATATGAATAAGTAATTATAAATTGGTTTCAATTCTGATCATTGTTTGAGCATCATTTTTTAAGTAAAATACAACTATAAATACATGTGTAAATACCTTTATGATCTTTTGGTTCATCGTAACCTTTTTGTGCTACGTGCAGGGCTTGACCTTTTCTTCGTACCTGTAAAACATTTAGTTTCAGCATTTTGTAATTCTTCATTTGATGTTTAATTTTGACGTGCATATCATAATGCATATATATAATGAAAACGTCACTGACTATGATTATTGGCAAAAACGCTTTGCCAGAACTAAAGGTCAATTTCTGTATAAATAAAAATTGAAATTAATTATTATGTACAGGGTTCTAAACTTTTGCTAAGTAAATACATTATAAATAACGAAATCGTCACTCATGGAAACATGCATGTACGTCATCAAAAACAAGGGAAAGTTTATTTTCGTCACTAAATATCTGTCAACCTGCTTGACCTTGGGCTGTATTTTAACTTTTTTCCTATTTACTATACGTACGTTTTACTTAGAGATATTTTTATACATTTATTTCCAATTTAAAATGAATTTTTTTCTGAATTTCAAAGCGTCTGCTGCTAGGCTGCGTAAATTATTCGAATAAAGTTGAATGCATGGAACTATCTGTTAACTGATAAAATATAGTCTAGATATTACGAAAACTATAAAGAATAAAACTTCATTTACTTTATAAAATTATGCTAAACAAATGTCCCTCAAAAAATGTCATTGACAAGAAAAAAATTACTAAATTTTATATCGCTTAAAATTAAAGGAAATGGGATATGCATTCTTAAATGTATTTATAATGTATACATGAATAAAGAAGAGATATATTGTGTATAATTGTTTCGGTCAAATAAATTTTTATTATTACAGTATTGAGATGAGGTGATCAGTTATATTATTGATGGCTCTCTCGTTAAAACATGTTATTTTGTACAAATCTAAGGCAGCTAGAACACACTATGCAGAGAAAAGAAGTCATTAAAAATGTATTTGGCGAAATTAATCTACTCACGCTTTCCAGGCTTCGCAGGCGTTCTTATATACTTTTGGCCCCGTCCAGGGTACAATAGGGACTGTTTATATCAGGGCACCGGAAGTTCTCCCGATTCTTTAAGTCCTTTGGTAACAGCGGTTGTGATGAATGCATTTGAAGACCTATGAATAGAGAGAAGAGTATAGACTAGTATATCCGAGTTTTGTGCCTACCCATTCTTGAACTGTCATAATGTGTTAAGCAGCAAATAATTAAAGTAAATTAGTAAATTAATGAAATTATATTTTTATAATTAATAATTTGAAAGAAATAATTCTCACTTGAAAAAAGAATACAAGCAATTAATGCAATGTGTATCAGCTTCATCTTCGACGATTTATAACAAATTTCTGGTTTTCTTTCTCTATTTATACTATGTCCAAGTCATCTGATTAATTAACATAAATGGGTTATGCATGAATTGCATGTTCATCGTAACACCGGTTTTGTGGCTACCTTGCGTAATTCAAAAATCCCCATTCCTTCCTGAGCTGTAAATAGGTCAGTGCAAATAGTCCTCTTAATAAATTTATGCGTCCATTCTGTGAAAAGTTTAATTAATTCCACCAATCATGTAACACATGCAGGATTGTCCTCAGCTTTTTAGAGGTTATATGGGATTAAAAAGTCACACATGTAGTAAATAAAGGAGTAAATATTTACCGACTTTATTAATTATTTGAGGAAGTTCAGTCACTTAGGTTATTTCCACATATACATCATCAAAACAGGTTTGATACCATTCCTTTGTCATGAGTAAATAAACAACTTTAAAACGTACATCATCTAATTCGAACGGGATTTATAATAATTTATAATTCCTTCACAAAAATGTGGGGATTTAAACATAGGATTTTGAACACAAAAATTGATATATTTTTCAAGAAACACCGCATATTTTCTTAACTTCTTTTGTTGACAAACCTGATTTGTAACAAAATATGAACGTAATAAAAAAAAATATGCCACCGACTTTACAAACTTTATCTTTCCTGAGCTCCACTCATCAAAAAATGTAATGTGTCTATCCCAAAAGAATTTCTTACAAAATAAAAATGCCCACAATTTTTATCAAATCTTTCGGAGCAAAATTTGACGGGAATGTTTAAGACTGTAAAATCTGTGTCTTTTGAATTCAGCGAAACTTTATTTATTTAGAATGTTGATTGTACAATGACAATTCAGCAACTGAACTTGTACAGTCAACATGTGAACATGAACAACAAAGAAGATTTACAATATATGTATATTGTATCACAGTACTAATAGATCAATTTGTTTAAAAACATTTCTGTTCTAAGGAACTCTGTAGTTCAAGTTTAAATGATTCAATACATATAAAATATAGATTCAAATGAACATTGCTAGCATATTCATCTGTATTTCTTTCTAAAAATAAAAAGAGGAATACAATGTGCTTAAATTATAGAAGTCGATTCATCATGGTCATCATTAGTGCAGAAATTACAATCATGCATTTATAAAAACTATACAATCAACCAGCTTCAATTTCAAAGTTTATAATAACAAATGGAAAATTAAATTTACACAAATCTAAGTTCAATTGGTAACATGGTCAGATATCAATGTCATATTAATTTTGTACTTTATATATGTAAGGTATTTTAGAAAATATTTCACATTCTAACCTTGGATAAAACTACAAAACGCTTAATTTATTCTTAATTAACATAACTATCATGCATGAATAAAAATCAACATTCTGAGCATTCCACATTGAATCCAAATTACATTGCAAATGCTAAATATTCTTTTCATGTGACGATATGTATGAATATGCAATTTAATGTAATTTGATTATCTCTGTTTCGAACACACAAAAAGCTTTGTAAGAAACCATCAATTGTATGTGGAATTTTATCCAATTCTGGAAAGAAAAAAAAACAATCACAATGAAGTCCTCGAGAATATTTTAAAATGAATCTTTTTAAATAATTTTCTGAAGACTTTTAAAAATGTTGCAGTTTTTAAAATCTCACGACATGGTGTCAAAAAGTTGCAGTTGCCTACCAATTGGTTATGATGGCATATTTCTGTCCCTTGAGCCAATTTGAAATCATTTTTCTATTGATTATGTTGACTTGCAAAATGCAAACAATTGTGCACATACCACGAAACAATATCAAACATGCAAGAAAAATGTTTACTTTATCAAATTGAAAGAATTTGTTTGTTTGGGGTTTTTTGGCAAATATTGCAAACATGTGATTAATCATGCAATAAATTTATTTTGACCTGCAGCTTAAGTCTATATCTCTTTTTATCATGTGTCAACCCATAATAATTACACTACAACTATTATATACACATGTAACTACTCGTGTTGATGTATTTTTGAGAAGTTGATGCTGATTTAAATGCTAGTAATGCTGATCTATCAGACAACTCTAAATAAGTCTGCAATCATGTTCATTTAAAGCAGAGTCTAAACTTTCTTTAGTGTTTTAACTGGTTTTATGTTTAGCCAAAACTACACCGTAGCAATGATATAAGTTGATAAACAGTAATCTAATTTTCCATTATATTTACAATAACCAAGCTGATAAGCAGATACTACGTACTGGGAACCATATTGTGTATGGTACAAATCTTAAAATGTCTTTTACTTGAAAACTTAGTATATTATATGAGTTTTTCCTTTAAGTTTTCTCATATTGTTTTACTCATTTATGTAGAAATGATGGATATATAAGCAACTTAACAAAAAGCATTGGCAGAGTTTCAGTTTAACCTATGATCAGTAAGATATTTTTTTTCAAAATTTTGGGGGTTACCTTTCTCTAAACTATACAAACACAGATGTTTAAATTAAAGTTTTAACATTATACAGACCAATATACATTGTCATCATCTAGGAAATTATAGGACTAGACTTGTATTAATGACAGTTCAATATCTAGGACCCAATTAAATATTGAATATCTATAAAGTGTAATGTAACCATGTGTAATTCCATTTACCCAACATGAATATACCTTTGAACACTGACTCATGATGGTTCGTCATCGACCCAGTATGTAATTAAACACAGCATCTGGGGTGATTTTGTTCTAACGAAGACCAAAAAGACAATGGAAGTAAATATTGACACAGATATTCATTGTGCATAATTATGTAACTTAAAACCACCACATCAATATCATTCTGTCATTAAACAATTGATGTAAATATGACACTACATGTAACAAAAACCAGAAGTCACTGTCGAGACTGTAGCTCTACTGGTTTGTACTTATAACAGAGGAAGAGAAGACTACTAGCCATTGGAACTTGAAACTTAATAACAGCAATAAATATAATAATGATTCTTCATTAAGTTTCTTTTTCGGACAAATTCACACCGAAACTGTGGGAGGAGTAGTATTTTGAAAGTATATCATAAAGGAATTTCACAGAAATTTCTATTTTTAGTACCGGTTACTATGGCAACATCGTTTATTGATGTAATAAATTATGCATTTTAGTATAGTTTAGTTTTGTGTACTAAGTTTTATTGAAATCAGACCAAAACTGTGGGAGAAGTAGCATTTTCAAAGTATTTCACAATCATTTCTATTATTAGTAAATGGCAACACCATTCATCGAAAACCGATGCACTAGATTATGTACCTTGTCTTGTCTACTTGTGTGCCAAAATTATATTGAAATCAGATCAAAACTGTGAGAGGAGTAGCATTTTGAAAAATTGTTTACAGGACGGAAAGACAGACAGACAGACAGACAGCTGGGCAGACGACAGACACCTTACTATCGCATGAGCTCTTATGGTCTCTGACCAGTAGAGCTAAAAACTACAGGACCAATTTGTATAAAGTATTTGGAGAGAAAATGAAGAGACTGCCATTTTATAGAGTCTAGTTATTTTCAAAGAACATGAACAAACACAAAAAATACCAACTGAATTAGTAAATACCAACATTGTGCACAATATTAACTACTTGTTATCCAAAATTATGCATAAATGAAACCTTCGTTTCAGTGGCGCATTGTCTCTATTAATGGCACAGTCTACGTTTATTTCCCCAATGCTGCCTGCAGCATAATGGAGAGAGACACAACAATACTGAACAACAGGTAAACAACAAAGAACACTCTGTCTAGGGCCACAGCGACAGAGGACCAGTCAAGACTCTCTGGTTCCTCTCCGTTTGGCGAGGATAGAGGCACTACACTCCCTTATTTCCTTCAATATTTCCAGTAATTGTCCCTCAAACCCCACAGTAAGAGGCTGCTGTTGTTTGGCTTTCATTGTCTATATATTGACGTCGCTTACATTCTTCTGGGTAAGGAAAATGGAAAATGTTTCCTTTTCTTTTATAACGTTCGATGTACAAGTTATCCTGAAATAACAGATCATATACATGAAAATTACTCTTTTTTCCTTTCACTGAGTGATTGATATATATACTATATGCTTGATTTACAGGTAGATTTTCTGCAATAAATTTAGCAACATTGCAGCATCTATCAAAATGAAACTAATAAACCCGATTTTGAAAAGGTATAGTTGTTTTGGCGCAATGAAACATGGTGATCTGTTTCTTTTGATACAAGTACATGCATTGGAGATACATATATTTCATAAAAAATTCTGCACATACCGCGGTATATGTGCTGAATTTTAAAGTCAACATATACTGCAGAGTTATAATTTGTAGCTTAAAAACTGGATTGGTACCTTTATATTTTTTTGTACAATTCAGAAGTGCAACAAGTTAATACGATTTTAGGACTCGATAGAAGATTTACGTTAATTTAAATACTCTTTAAACATTCAAAAATATTCATATTAAAATATTTCAGTTACGTTTTTATCGTGGTCGTACTGCGCATGTACACACGTTATCGTCTGCAATGGCCTGATGACGTATTTCCTAACTGTTGAGGACACGTGACCGCTCTTCTTGTAATGTATGTTGAGAACTAACACTGTCATAAGACAGGACAGACCAACCAAGATCATCGACACGAGAAAGTAAATAGCTGAA